TATTGATAGTACATCATTAGACACATCCCTAACAAAGACAGGTCAAGCGCACCACAATAAAAACAGACCATTCCTTTTAGTTTTACATAAAAGACTTATCAGAAACCCTGCTAGACTTCAACCACCAATGACATTACTTGATTATAACCACTTATTAAGCACTAAAACACAAAAATTAAATTAAAAATTACTAATTAAAAACATGAAAATTACTGGTTAAACACTAAAGCATAAAAAAATAAAAAGATCGAAAGCTGCAAAACCACCAAATCAAAAGATCGCAAGCACTCACCCACGCTGGTGTCAAGACAGGTTTACAAGCTGGGAGCTGTTGCTGCTTGAAAAGATCAAATGCTGCAAAACCACCAAATGAAAAATTTTAATATCAAATGCACATAGGCATACGGTACCCATCTGTGCAATGTAATGGGACATATGTGATAGCTAACTGATGCATGCTGATGCTCAAATTGAAGTACAGAAATTAAAGAAAAAAAAGAGAAGCGAAAATGAAAGATAAAAGATGACATACAGACAAATAAACAAACAAAAGCTGGAGTTGGAGCTGGAGGTGAGCGATGTGAGCAGTGGTGAGCGACGTGGCAGAGGAGAAGAGACTGACTGGAGTAGGGTGGGATAGCAATTTGCAAGAAGTAGCAATTGTATTTCCTTTTGCATCTAGGGTTAGCCGGTTATGTATATTGGATTTCCTTCTGCTTGTAGGGTTCTGTAATTGGGCTCTAAATTGGACTGTAAATTGAGCTATAAATTGGGCTGGGTAATTAGGTTTAAGAATATTAGATTAACAAAAAAAATTTGGGTTAGGCCGACAATTGGGTTTGGAAAAATTGAAAAAAGTGGATTGTGAAATTTAAGTTATGTTGGTATTGAGTTAACTAATTAAATTAGGTAAATTCCAATAAAAAAAATTAAATTGGGTAAATAAAAATTAATTGCTAACATATGTACAAAATATATATAAATAAATTTTTTTTATACGGATCCCCATGGGTTGGAGAAAATTCCCTGTAAAATTTCACAAGTAAAAAATTACCTCCATTCTTACCCCATAAATAAAAATATTCTTAAAATCTCCATCCTCATAACAAAGATCTCCACGAAGCTTCGCGAATCACGGAGAAAATTACCATCCCTACCTCGTAACTTACTCTCAAGGGAAGAAAGTCATCTGGAGCTTCAGGTACGAAGATAATGACATTTTCCAATTCCACGTTGCACCCTGTCATAAGTTAATGAGTGCGACCATACTGGACCAGGACAATGGTACAGTCTTTTTTTGGCGAAACCGTAATCCCACCGAATCCGAAGCAAATCTTCTGCATTATTTTTATTTATTTATTTATAGTAGAATCGCTACTTTCATTAAAGAAACGTCCCGTCTAGGGCTGGGCACGGTTCCATAAGTGCCGCAATTCCCGTGGTACCGTGCCATTACCACCGGTAATGGTATGGGAAATTACCATATGACAGCTATAAATGGTAATACGGTAATACTATTTAAATATATGGTATGGGATTGGTATTAAAGTTTATTACCATATTTACCATAGGAGCTTCCAAAATTACCGAATTTACCGTTTCTCAAAACTTTTGTTTTTTAATTTTAGAATATTTTTAATAATTTTTCTCCTAAAACGGTGGTAACTTTTGTAATTTTACCAACAATTGGACAATATTAATAGTAATATCTATCAAAACCCTACCCAGCTTTTTACCTCTGCTTCTTTCTCTTCCGCCAGAGAGAGGAGTTCTCTCTTTTCTCCACTCCAAATCTCCACCAGTTCATAATTTCGTCCCATTGGTTCAACCGTTCAAGGCAAGGCAAAGGTTATTAAAGCATCTGAGCTTGTATTAGGGTTTTGAAATCTCAAAATCAAAACCCTAATCCAAACTCAGGAAAAGCAGATCTAGGTTTTGAAGTGTTGATATTTGAATCTTCAGATATCTAAGTAAGTTTCTCATCATTTGTCACTTTTCTTACCTATTTAATAAAAACCCTAGCCCCAATTTCCTTTTTCCCTTGAAATTTTAATCCTAATCCTCAAAAAATGGAATCTTGAATTTAGATTTACAAATTTTTACACCAATTTCTTTGATGGAGGAAACTTATAAATACTAGTATTAGAATTTATAAATAGTAATAGGTTATTGTGAAACAAACACGGTGAAAGTTTTCGGAGAGAACAAATCGGAATAGGAGGGAGGAATCCACTCACGGGATCAAGCTTTAAGCCTCTAACCGTCTCCCTCACTGCTTACCTAAGAGGAATCAACCTAGAAAATGTGCTTTCACTGGAAACTTAACGATCCTTCTTTCAATCGTCGCCTCAAAACATAAATCCTTTCTCCTGTTTTTTTTTTTAGAACTCTGCAGAATATCCAGAAGGAAAAATAACCGAAATAAAAACCAGAAGGAAAGAGGGAAGGCCGAGAGCAAAAGAAGACTCTAGTCCCTTTCAAAATGCTTGTGCAGTCCCTCCTCTCCTCAAAAACCCCCAGATCTGTGGCCTGCAGCTGCTATGGGGCTGAGACAAGCAGATCTGGAGATGGATTTCCGGCGATGGAGCGAGATGGATGAAGAAACCTACAGGCACAACTGCTGGAGATGGAGATCAAAAGTGGAGGTGATGGTCAATGATGATGATGGTGGTGACGGTGACGACGCTGATGGTGGTGATGGCCGGAATTGGGGGAGGGGGCTCCAAGGAGAAAGATCGGGAACTTATTTTCAACTCTGCTTTTTTTTCCTTGTTTTTTTTTATTCTACACGGTTTTTCGATTGTTGCTTGCTACTGCTAGTTCTCTTTTTGTATTATAAAAAGAGTATTAATGGAACTTATTTTCAACTCTGCTTAGTTCTCTGTGTTTGACTGTTATTTATAAAATGAAACTTATTTTTAAAGAAAATATTAATATTAATGGAAACAGTATGCTTGTATAATTTAATTTATATAATATAAATCATGACTGTGTTACTTTATGATGCAGGTGTTCATCTTCTAGTTCTAACTCCATAATTTCATCAAAATGTCAGGTAAATTTTAGGTGAAATTCAACTACTCTCTCAAAAATTTTCATTACATGTCACTACTAATTCTGTTTTTCTTTTTTCTTTTTTTTTTTTGGGATTATTTGGCTTGTTTTTTTAGACAATATAGCATTAGAGGATTCTCGTGAGAACTTGGACATTGCAACTGGTGCTAGTGCTAATATCTTCGAGATCCTTGGGAATGCTTTCTTCGAAACTGATGCGGATATGGTAATCTATGTTATTCTATAATTTTATTTATTTATGATTTTAATTTATAAATTTAAAATTATGATTTAATTTATCATAATTGATACGAAGATATTCTTGATGAGTTAGAGTTGAATTATAATGATAGGAAAATGAGGACCTTAATAACAATCAAACTGAGACTAGTAGTTGGTAAATGTGTCTAGTATCTATTGAGCTGAATGTTGGCTTATTGGTTGTAGACATAGGCCAATTGTTTGCTTTTTGTTTTTGTAAACTTGGTGTACTTGCACAATATGATTAGTCTTATAATCTTATGAAATCATTTATGCATGCTTGTTGCTTTTATATTCTTCAAATTCAGAAATGCGAAATGAATGTTTATCTATGAGAATGATAATCTATGAGACTAGGAGTTTATTGTTTTATAATATAGTTAATTAATTGCTTTGCTTGGTTCATTAATTGTGCATAATAAATTTGTAAATATTAAAGACAGCAATAAAAAAAAATGATAATTTTGAGCTTTTAAGATAATTAATTGATAATGGAAAAAATAAGTTTAAAGATGGTAATATGGGATGGTAGTGGTAGGGCAAGTGTCATTACCATTAAAAACGGTTGGTAACCATTACCAAAAAATCATCAATTAGTATGGAAGTGGTAAATGTTTTTCATTACCATTTAGAGTGGTTACCATTATTTGAGAGTGGTATGGTAACCATACCATGCCTAGCCCTACAAGCTAGTGTCCAAATCGATGAAAAAGTTAAGAGGATATATCCAAGATGCACCACAAATGTCACTCAATTACACATCACTATAAATAGTTATCATAAAAAAGTACCTTATCATTTTAAATAGTAAAAATAATGTTGAAAAAGTAATCTCCGGTTGGCAATTTTAATACATTTCAGTTTTGTCTGTAATTTTATTTTTATTCTTTAAAATCATTCACCATAATTTTGTTTATAATAACATTTTTTACTTAACAACATAAATTAGTATATATATAGACCCGTGATATTGTCACATGAATATTACAAAATAATATTGTAATTATGTTAATTTTATTTATTACTATTATAATTTAATATAATCTCGTGATTTTTTTTATTTTCATGCACTATTATTTCTCTATTCTCAGATATCGGATTCCTTCCTCTGTTGTCAGTATCATGGCCCCGTTTGCAAAATGTTAATGGAATTGCCTGCCTTTCAACCTCAAGCAAGCAAAGCTGAGCAGGGATCAACCTTCTGTGAAAGTAGGACAACTAATTAAGAAGAAATAATTAGTGGCCCATATAAAACAGAAAATGCCAGCTTGTACATTTATTACCAGCGTCTGACATCGTCGGCCGGTGAGGACCTAGAGCTCAGCAACCATGTGAAATGTGTCCCTTAAAATCTCTCGACATCAAAGATATGATGATGCCGTCTACTGGTGGGGTTAAAAATTAGATGAGCAATGCTAAAAGGACACTCGTTAATTGCACTCTCCAACTAACATTTTCACTTTCATTCCAGTAAAGCTAAGCAGGGAACAGCTTTCTGCTAAAACAGGAAAATCAATTCAGGAAAAGCAATTATATATTGACCCACAAAAAACGGAAATATGCAAATACGTGACTAATTTATTAAAAATATTTATTAATTATTTTTACAAAAATAATTATAATAGTCAAATAAAATTTAAACTAAAAAAAATATATAATTATTATCAGCATCATACGGCTGCAGGCGCTCTTAGGAGCTGATTCACGTGAAATGTGTCCTTGAAACCTCTATAGGCATTATGATATGACAGCTACCGGTAGAGTTAAAATTGAGGGATGATTACAGATATAATTTAATTTGTTAATATTATCAATAATTATTAAAATTTTAATTTTTTTATGAGAATCGAAATTAATGAGTACTTTTTCTTAATATATTACATTTTTTAATTTTTTAAAATGACATTAATATATGATATTTGATGTGTCCTTTTTTTTTTCTTATTATCACTAAAAATATAAATATATTTGAATTATTGATTAAAAAAATGAATGTATTTGAATAATGTCTCTCTCAATGTAAACAATGAAAATACTTAATTTGAACATCTATCATTTATTTTTTTATAAAAAAAATCTATCTTTCCATTGAATAATGTCTTTTTTAAAGTAAACAACTCTTTTAGTCATTTTTAATGATTTTAGTCTTACTTTTTAATTTTTAAATATAAATTTTAAATAAAAAAATTTAACATATCATATAAATAATAATTAAATTTTTTTTAAAATCAAATTAAAGTACTCAATAAGAACTTCATATAAAAAGAAAAATTAAAGTTTTTTAATTAAATAAAAATATTTAATAAGAAAAACATGCACGATTCAAATATATATATCATGACTTAGAGATCTGTTATTCTATGTATGTACTCGAACTTCAAGCACCCAAAAATTAATAAATCTAGCAAAGAGTGACTGCATTTTCACTTGGAAGGTCATGTATCTGCAAGAAAACTTCGATATTTTCATTGTGATTAAATTATAAGGGGCGGCAGATTTGGATGGTTGCAAGCCTCTAATATTTTTTTTACTCATCAGAAGATAGTTGATTTGGAAAATGCTTAGCAGCAAAACTGATTTGGAAATGAAGACTCATTCTTCGTTTTATCAAATACTTTGATTTTACCTTCTTAATTTCCAAGGAGGAGGTTTAGATCACCAAGATTTTCACGACCGTTCAACAAATATGCATACAAAATATCATTCCATGTATCATTTAGTCCCGGTAAGTAAGCACCAGTGAACACGATCAACAAAATTTTCAAGATAAAATCTCTGTTCCCTGTCAAAAATTTGCCCTTCCATTCACCATAAACAGATACGAGCATCTTTCTAATCTTCTGACAATTGTGTAATGTTCAAAACTGTGGTGGTTGATCTTTAGTTCTTGTAAGATGTTGCAAACTATCTCCATAATGGCAAGACTATATCCAATTCCCTAGTATGATGCTTCTTGGATTGGATTGGATAGGTATTCACCAAAGCAGTCTCATTACTGCCTGGCTTCCATCCTTCCCCTTTGATGTATGCTGCAGTAGTAGCTGTGACATTCCAAAAAAAGCACAGAACCAATCCTGCACAAGGAAGAAATATATATTTACCATTCATAACATATATCAATACAGACACTGATAAGCATAACGTCATGTTTGACATCATGTATATAATTGAATGTATTCAGTCAATAAATATATAATATACTGAAAGTGAAAAAGCTTGCATACCTAAGAATGATGAAAAGGCAATGTACATCAACTTTTCTAGATAAATCAATATATCATTGCGAACAACTGAGGCAAATGGCGGCCAATCTGCAAAACAAAAAATCAAAAATTCTACACCATCATGGCATGAATGAAAGACTAATAATCCATCAAAGGCAACAGAAACAAACCACTACGTGGATATGATGAGTAATCAACAAAACATAACATCAACTGCAAGTTACCTCTTGCTAATGCCTCTATTTTGCTTCACTTCCTGTGCTGAATGTCCCAAAGAAAACATTGAGTGAAAATCGTAAAAGTCTACATGTCTCAATTCAATCTCCTTAACATACCTCTTACTGCTAGTTAAATTCAACTTCCATGGCCAATCTCCTCATCTTTCCTCTACAATTCCTAAGATAATTTGAACATTCTAAATATAATCACCGCTCAATTTCATAGAACAAGAGGGAAGTAGCATGCATGGAGATGGACTAAGGTATATACACTAACCTTAGAGGGTCTAGTAATTGTAGCAAAAGGGATATCATGATTTGCATCACAACCATAGTTGAGAGCAACTGGTTCAAGAGGAAGAGGTGAAGGCATTGAAGGGATCTACAAATTCACAATCATTGATCAGTAATCAGAATCATA